TCGAAACTTGGTAAACTAGGATACCTATTTCTGTGTATCTAGTGAGATATAATAATAATCTCAAGACAATTCACACAGTGCCATCTAGACCCAAGTTAAGCTAGCTAAAGCTTGTGTTATGAGTACTAGATAACTGATACAAATATAGACACTTTTTTCGTAAATGCATACATATTATACATAGAAAACTCTCAGACCGATACATACAATCATACTCATGAATACAATATTTTGTGCCGTGCGAGGAATCGAATCCGCGACAATTGGAAGTAAGGTGTTAAACCGCTATACTACCGCGACCGTCAGTAATAACACAAATGATAACAAAAATAGTTTGTTGGGAGATCACTTTAATCAGAAATAATAGATCTTATAGATTTTTGAAAACGAATCGTCGTCAACGATCGTTAAGGTTTTTAAGATATCCTAACCTCAAATTTGACGACCTCGATGGTCTAGCGGTCTAGCACACCGCTTTACGACCGATGGTCGCGGGTTCGATTTCTCGCACGGCACAAACATTTGTATTCATGAGTATGATTGTTTGTACACGGGTGTTTTCTGTGTATAATATGTATGTATTAACAAAAAGAAAATCTATGTATATGTATCAGTTATCTAGTACCCATAACACAAGCTTTAGCTAGCTTAACTTGGGTCTAGATGGCGCTGTGTGAATTGTCTAAGAAAAAATTGCATAAATGTGTACTTTAACTCGTAACCTTTCACCTCCGCTTTTAACCTTTTCCAACGCATTTTTCGCATTAAAAAGTAGCTTATATTCTTTCCCAGAGTCTAGACAATCTGTGTACTAAATTTCATTGAAATCGGCTCAGTAGTTATACCGTGAAAGCGCGACAGACAGAGTTACTTTCGCATTTATATATTACTAGTAAAGATAAGTCAAGATATCTTAATCCAATTCTCTCGGTCACTTACACCCTGTCACGAACCCATAGGGTCACTGCCCCCCACCCTTACTGATCAATTTATGGCCCCATTAATTAGCCAAACTTAGCCACGACTCCACTTAGATCACAGATCAGATTGCAAACAAAAACTTGCCTCTTGGGAATATGACGTCGATAAATCGAGATGTATCTTGTTTAATTTATGTCCAGAAAATGCTATTTCGCCTTTATTATATACTAGCTTCACCCGCGACTTCGTCCGCGTGGAATTTAACTTTATTTTTCTAAAATTAAAGTAGCCTAAGTTACTCCTTATTATATTAGCTACCTGCCAATAAAAGTCCCGTCAAAATCGGTCCAGCCATTTCAGAGATTAGCCGGAACAAACAGACCGACAGACATATTTAACTTTACCGTATTTAACTTTGAACAAAGATGCCCATTACATCAATAGATTTATGAACACTTTAGGAGATATATTAGTTTTAATAAAAGACGTTCAAATATTAGATGCGTGTGAAGCCGGGGCGGGTTGTTGTTTATAATTAGTTAAAATAATAGAGCAGTAATTGGTATCTGTTTTGCCGTTATGTTTGCAGTTATATAACAAGTGGCCGCTCTACCCTTTGCTTTCCTCGTGTCTCCAATTTCAATAAACAGAAACGCTGAGCAAACAATATATATAGATGTGCAGTATGGGCAACAGTCACCTAGATACATAAAATAATAATTGCATTTAATAATGTCTAGTAAGACAAATTCAATATTGTCTACTAGGCACTGCTGTATCTAAACTGTGTCACCCCACCTTACATTTTCCTATTGTTATTTAGTATATAAGATCATTATTTCTATGTACATATTGTCAGTTTATCATCATCTGTAATATACATCGTCTCGACCAGCAACATCGTATTATTCACCCGCAACATGCAGTATACAAAATGTTCTGAATAGATATTGTAAATAATATTTCGGCAACGCCGAGTACTATATTGCAGGGATGTTAAGGAGATCCATAACCGTAACCGACACTAGCGGATATCCGATATAGAAAAATATCCGTAACCGTAACCGACACTATCGGATATCCGATATAGAAAAATATCCGTAACCGTAACCGACACTATCGGATATCCGATATAGAAAAATATCCGTAACCGTAACCGACACTATCGGATATCCGATATCAAAAAATATCCGTAACCGTAACCGACACTAGCGGATATCCGATATAGAAAAATATCCGTAACCGTAACCGACACTAGCGGATATCCGATATAGAAAAATATCCGTAACCGTAACCGACACAATCGGATATCCGATATAGAAAAATATCCGTAAACGTAACCGAAACTATCGGATATCCTATATAAAATATTATCCGTAACCGTAACCGACACTATCGGATATCCGATATAGAAAAATATCCGTAACCGTAACCGACACTAGCGGATATCCGATATAGAAAAATATCCGTAACCGTAACCGACACAATCGGATATCCGATATAGAAAAATATCCGTAACCGTAACCGACACTATCGGATATCCGATATAGAAAAATATCCGTAACCGTAACCGACACTATCGGATATCCGATATAGAAAAATATCCGTACCCGTAACCGACACTATCGGATATCCGATATAGAAAAATATCCGTAACCGTAACCGACACTATCGGATATCCGATATAGAAAAATATCCGTAACCGTAACCGACACTATCGGATATCCGATATAGAAAAATATCCGTAACCGTAACCGACACTATCGGATATCCGATATAGAAAAATATCCGTCACCGTAACCGACACTATCGGATATCCGATATAAAATAATATCCGTAACCGTAAGCGAGTCCAACAGTTTCGGACAACATCGGATAGGGGCGGAGCCTAATTGAGACACGTTATGTAACCATTTCATTAGCGATTTGTATTTTACTTTTGAAATTCCTTAAAAAATTGATATCCGTAACCGAAGTTATCCGAAACTAACGGATAATCCGAAATAATTTCATATCTACATTCGTATCCGTATCCGGTATAATAATCATTCCTATATCCGAAACTTATCCATATCCGAAATTTCATATCCATAACATCCCTACTACATAGCTAGTCGGCAATACAACTAGAGTCCGTGCCGACATCGCTAGGATACAGGATAATGTTTGCTCAACAAACAAACAAACAAACAAACATACAAAATGTATCTCTTTATAATATGAACTATCTTTTTCCCGCGACTTCGCTCGCGTTAATTTATCCCCTTAGGGGTGGAATTTATCAAAATCCTTTCTTAGACAATGCCTACGTCATAGTAGCTTTATGCATGCAAAGTCTCAGCCCGATCGGTTTAAAATTGACAAAGTTTCATACAAATTTTCACCCGCTATTTTATCCCCTTGGGGGTAGAATTAATCAAAATCCTTTCTTAGAGAATGCCTACGTCATAGTAGCTTTATGCCTGCAAACTCTCAGCCCGATCGGTTTAAAATTGACAAAGTTTCATACAAACTTTCACCCCGTATTTTATCCCCTTGGGGGTAGAATTAATCAAAATCTTTCTGCGGATGCCTACGTCATAACATCTACCTGCATGCCAAATTTCAACCTGATCCGTCCAGTGGTTTGGGCTGTGCGTTGATAGATCACTATGTCAGCCAGTCAGCTTTGAGTTATATATATTTATATATAGGTATATGAAATGCAAATTATTAAGAAATAAATAAATAACAAAATATTGTAAGAAACAGCTTATTTGATGTTTTTACTGTCTACGCCTCATTTACATAGGACCGGAGCGAAACTGTGTCGAAACCTCGTCGCATATATGATACACAATTATGTACTTTACTCCATTGATATAAAGATAATATTGCTGTTTTATTATCTAAATTTGAGAGAATAAATTCGGTACATTAAACTGTTAGATGTGGTGAATAACACTGGCATTTGTCAAATAACAAAATGATGTGATATTTTTTTATATAGTACGATGGTTGCAAACAATAATACCTTATCTAAATATATATAACTCAAAGGTGACTGACATAGTGATCTATCAACGCACAGCCCAATCCACTGGACGGATCCGGCTGAAATTTGGAATGCAGGTAGATGTTATGACGTAGTCATCCGCTAAAAAATCCGATAAAATAGGGGGCGAAAGTTTGTATGAAACTTTGTCAATTTTAAACCGATCGGGCTGAGACTTTGCATGCATAAAACTACTATGACGTAGGCATCCTCTAAGAAAAGATTTTAGATTTTGTAGGCCCTAATGTTTTACACACGTTAACCAAAAGTAAAGCCGCAAAAACTACACCTAATTAATAATCATACGCGAGCAAACCCGCTGGCAAAAACTAGTGTCATATAAAAACAATATTATAAAAAATATAAATAATAAAAAAAGGTTTATAAAACAATTTACAACACTACTATTTCTTTTTTCATGAGGGTTTTGGGCTATTGTACACTTTACCACTTTCTTTACGACCTGTAACACTTTCTTTTTTACACTACTATAGTGGCAAACAAGCATACGGCCCATCTGATGGTAAATGGTTACCGTAGCCTATGGATGCCTAAAACACCAGGGGTGTCACATGCGCGTTGCCTACCCTTAAGAAAACTTAATATACCCATCTTGAATAACCCCATGCTGTAGTCTCGTGAGGAAACCTCGACCTACATAGATCTATTGTGCTCGCCTTTTTTCAAAGTTGTCTACCTAGACCCGTCAGGGGCAAGAATTGAAGGATATTCCTAGGAGCGATGGTTTTTATCTCCTCAGGATATAGTGTACACTTTCCAAAGAAGATATTTCGTTTACGCATGATTGTGCTACAACCACATAGGATGTGTAGTGGCGTTTCCTCTTGTGCTTGGAAAAATCTGCAGATTTTTATTATGCACATGCCTAGTTTTGCTATGTGTTTATTTCCTTTTCAGCTTGGCAAATTCTGATTCACTACTAAGTCTGTCTTTATTTTAGAAGAGCAGTTGCTAGCGTCACTTTGAAAAGCAGTTTTTAATAGATCTTTCAATAAAAACATATCAAAATTGACAACGTCACTGACTAAGGTAAGAATGAAAACATTTGCTACAAAAATCTTGAATGGACATAAAATTAAATAATACAAAAACTTCAACTTGGGGAATTACAATGTATATTTGACAGTTTAGTTGTCTCTTATTCTAGATATACCTTTATTGAATGGTAGAAAAGGACAGAAAGAAACAGAACGATTATAAAGTTGTTGAGGTTTCAATTGAAGAATAGAATAGAAGAGTTAATAACTAAAATGAAAGCAGCCTGCATTATTCTATCAGGTATCATTGTGGTTGCCATCATGGCAGTTTGTGTTATGGTCAAGTTTGCAACAGACATAAACGTAGAAGAAAAGAATAGAGTCTACTTGAACGGAGGAGGTGTTTATAACTTGGCAAAATCTATGGGTATCATCGCTTTAGATACCAACTCTTCGATGTTGATCGCCGATAGATTTCCTTACGTCGCTGCTGTGACCAGAAATTCGTCATCCAAATGGTCTTTTGCTTGTTTCGCATCTGTTATACTAGTTAAATGGATTGTCACTTCAGCTCACTGCAGGAAACAGGGTGCTATGCATCGGGTACTCTTATACCATGACTTTGCAAGAAACTACACTCACACTTATCCAATTTTAATTTGGAGACTGCACGAGAAATATAATAGCAGTCAACCAACACCGAAATATGATATAGCAGTTGCGAAATTGAACGTAGATTCGTATCCTATCACGATGAAATCTTCTTTATTAAATGAGAGTCCAGTTAAGGAGGTAGAGGCAAGTGTTTGGAAGACTGTCTCCACGATGGACAAGAAGATGTTCCTGACCAATGACTTCGATAAGTTTGAGGTATCTTTAGTGCCAAATGGGCGATGTTTTGAGACGTATGGAGTAGAATTGGATGACTCCTTGTTGTGTGTTGATATGGCTGAACATGAGGACTGTTTTATTTATGAGTTTGGGCCGATTTTTGATGGAGATAGAGTGGCTGGATTGCTCGCGGTGAAACCGAGGGATTGTGATGTGAAACTAGCTATATTTACTAACGTTTCTTATTATACTAATTGGATCTTGAGGTCTACACACGCTGGTTATTAATGTTTATGTATATAAATATATAAATAATGACTCTTGCTTTCCATTCCTTCCTATTCCTCTAAATTCTATCACAATACCCTTACTGTAACTGGTATCAAGTTATGAAATTCGTTATCTGTATCTATTAGAGCTGCAAAGTCCATTCATATTTTTAAAATAATAATAATAATAATGATAATTTATTTATTTGCTTGCTACATGGTAGTTTCGGATCTTATTATAACTAATATGACATACAGCATCCCTTACAGGTATGCGAATGTTCAAATTAAACCATATTCAATCTTATATATAAAATTCTCGTGTCACAGTTTTCGTTCCCATACTCCTCCGAAACGGGTTGACCGATTCTCATGAAGTTTTGTGAGCATTACGAATACCCACAAATACATTTCAATATCTATTGAGTATATAATGTCTGAGAATCGGCCAACATCTATTTTTTTTTTCATCCCCGAAATGTTATGTGGGGAATAGAATATAAAATCATTTATTCAAATAAACTTAATTTAAGCACTTTTGAATAATCATCACATTTTTTTCAATTTACCGCTCATTCGGAATGCTGTCTCATCACAATAAGAATGAGCAAGGAACTTGCGTGTTGCTCTTTTAAATCATTGTAAGTTTACATTTACAAACGTGTGAATACAAACTACCAACCAGCACTAATTTATTAGGGTCAAATATAAATATACAATAACATTAAATCAGTCGTAGCGATAAGAGCAGATCAGTCCCAACAAGCAACACTCGTTCACGAGTATGGCGGATGAGCCAGCCATCACTGCGCTCGACCATATGTTAGGGAGCCCAATGACACGTGTCTGGAATTTTTTGTGAGCATGACTACTCATTCCACTCGACCACGTCACAGCTACTACATCATATATCAAGAAAGCAGTATGAAAAAGAAATTACAATGTTGTCCGCACTCCATAATACATTATGTATACACCTTAAACAAGCAATATATATATTTATATACATCTACGATATACTGTTATTATAAACAAATTTAAGATTAAGCGTACATTAAGATATTTTTTCTTTTTTTTTTCTTTCAGCATATATTTGTCCACTGCTGGACGTATGCCTCTTGCATAATTTTCCACTTCAGTCTGTCTGTGGCGTGACTTGTCCAGGTCGGTCCTGCCGTCTTCCTGATATCATCGGACCATCTGGCAGTTGGTCTGCCTACGCTTCTGCTTCCCATCCTAGGTCGCCACATTAAGGATCTGTATGTCCATCTGTTGTCTTTGCTTCGGCATACATGACCAGCCCAACGCCACTTTAGCTGCGCGATTCTTTGGATGATGTCGGTAACTCCAGTGCGCCTTCTGATCTCAGGATTCCGCAGTCTGTCTCGTAGGGAGATACCGAGCATAGATCGCTCCATTGCTCTTTGGGTGACTTGTAGCTTGTTGACCCTTTCGGCGGTCAGAGTCCACGTTTCGCAAGCGTATGTTATCACTGGGAGAACGCATTGGTTATATAGCTTTGTTTTTAAAGTTTGCGGGATCTTGGATTTAAAAACATCTTTTAGTTTCCCAAAAGAATTTTGTTTTCATTAAGATATAAAAAGATAAAATTAAAACTATATTATTTTAGTTTGTTAACTAACGTTATTATATTGTTTATGTTCATGGTTATTGTGGTCGCGCAGAGTCACTTGTAAACCTGTTTACGAGCTGCGAATGGATTGGTGCCAATGCAATTCATTCATATTTTGTACAAGTTGAAATGTAAATCTACCCAGGCAATTGCAACATTTTAATTTTTACCTATTTGTCGCTGGAAGAAGGTAGTATCTATGAAACAGACTCGGCCTATATAGATGCTACTGGTAAATTATATGTATGATGTGTATATAACAAAAATGTAATAGTTTATAAGGAGAATAACTGTAACTACTTAAATTGGTATCAATAAAGTATATTATTATTATTATTAAAGTATATTATGTACATAGAGACTGCACAGAGAAGCAATGTTTCTCTGCAAAAGCCAATGGGTCGAGTCTGTCACAACGACGTTGATTGCCAATGATTCTGGCTGCTCGGTTCTGAATGCAGTCAAATGGAAGAGACTGATGTTGTAGAGCTACCCAGCATCGTTGAAACTGCTTAGTGCTTCATTTTGATCTGAAAGAACAAAAAAGATCTTTGAGTGACTATATTTTTATCTGTAATAATATAATATATCGATAATTAATAATAATAATATTTCAGGACAAGTCACACAGCGCCATTTAGTCCCACGGTAAGTAGAGATTGTATTATGGGTACTAGACAACTGCGATCTTGTACATAATGATAAAAATACAGATATTTATATAAAATTAGGATTAGTGATCGCCATATATTGCTGTTGCATTTTTGTCAAAAATAAATAATTTAATCATTACCTCTAACCCGAACTTACAACGGACGGAAATAAACAACTTTCATTCCAAAATGAACCTTGGTTAACCATGACATTCTCGCCAATTTTTTAATCGGTTTGTTATTTTTATATGTGCACCTTGCATTTGTTTTACAATAACTTCTAAAAGTAGGAAGTTCTTAATTCGACAGACATTATTAGACCACAAATATTGATTTTTTTATTACTTTTTACTCAGTTTGATATCTATACATACAAATAAAATTGGGGTGTCTGTTTGTAATATTGAAATAACCGTTTTACTACATGCATATGAATATAAATATGGTACATACACTCAAACGACATTTTTAAAAATTTTTGTCTGTCTCTTTGTTTGTTACGGCGAATCTCTAAAATGGCTGGACCGATTTTGACGGGACTTTTATTGGCAGGTAGCGGATGTAATAAGGAGTAACTTAGGCTACTTTTATTTTAGAAGAAATAAAGTTAAATTCCACGCGGACGAAGTCGCGAGTACAGCTAGTCATAAATAAAGATTTATCTTTATGAATATTCGTTGTTTAACAGCAAAATACGCTAAGTACTATTTCCCCTCTCCTTATATATGTGACCTTCTAAAGCCATATTTATACATCTTACGAAACAGTTGACAGTCCAAATAGTGTATTTTATAAAAATATCAGCGTCAATAAATGTATATTTAAAACACTATTATTATAATTTAATTTAACACAAATTACAATATAAATAACATGACATTGTCAATAATAATATTTATCATAACCTCACTTTTAATTGTTGCATTTTGCCGCGCTTCACTCCGTTGTAATGTGAAAATGTGTACCTCAAACGCGGTGATGACTGGAAAAGTTGTGATAGTAACTGGCGCAAATACTGGCATTGGATTCGAAATAGCTAAATCATTAGCAAAAAGAGGAGCAAAAGTTATATTAGCATGCAGAAATGAAGAAACGGCTTGCATCGCTCGAGACAAAATTATAGCTCAAACTAACAACAGCGCTGTGATCTTCAAGCCGCTGGATTTAGCATCTCTAAAATCCGTCAGAGCTTTTTGTCAAGATATAATTGAAACAGAAGATAAATTAGACATACTTGTGAACAACGCTGGTATTGCCAGCTCCTCAAATACTTACACGGAAGATGGGATTATCGAACTGATGCAGGTGAACCATTTCGCGCCGTTTCTTCTAACTCTACTATTGATGCCGTTATTAAAGAAGCAACCGAGTCGTATTTTGAATACGAGTTCAATTCTTCATTATTTAGGTGCTGTTGATTTGGTGAATCTGAATAAGAAGAGTTGTAACGATGTAAAATGTTACATGAATAGTAAATTATGTAATGTGCTGTTTACAGCAGAACTGGCAAGACGACTCAGAGAAACAGAGGTGGTAGTTAACGCTATACACCCAGGTATTGTTAATACTGGTATATCTAACAATTTGAATGTACTTTACGCTACATTTTTCAAGATTTGGTGCTGGTTCTGTCAGAGAAGCGTATTAGAGGCAGCCCAGACGTTCATTCATCTCTCAGTGACTGATGAAGGTGCGTCAGTCTCGGGGAAGTATTTCGTGGATTGCTCAGAACGTTTCATGTCTTGGAATGTCAATGAGAAAGTCGGACGTGAGCTCTTTGATCTGTCTATAAAGATGGTTAAGTATGATGGTGTTGGTTTAAGTGGTTTGTGTTCGGACAAGTTTGCAATTTGAGGGAGTTTTGATTCGTCCGTCATACTCGTGAACGGGTGTTGCTGGTGGGAATTGATCAGTGCAACTATTACTACGAAATCAAATATTTTTTTGACAAACATTCAATAACATATGCTGGTGGTCACTCTATTCTCCAAAATTTGAATTTAAAAATTTAATCTGTTTTTTTAAATACAAATTAAAAAAAAAAAATAAGCTGAGTTTCTTATAGACATATCTCTCTATATATAATACCTACTGGAGATTGTCCGTCCTGTCGGCGGAATAGTCACAAATATTGACAAAGTGATATATCCGCTTAAGTGAATGAGTGGGACTTACGGAGAGAAACGCGATCACACGGACATAAATACTGTGCTGGAAAAATATATTTATTTAAAACTAGCTACTCTCCCTGACTTCGCACGGGTGTACATGTATTATATATATAAACCTTCCTCTTGAATCACTATACTACTATACTATCTATTAAAAAAAACCGCTTCAAAATCCGTTGCGTAGTTTTAAAGATTTGCATACATAGGGACAGACAGCGACAGCGACTTTGTAGTGATAAAAAACTCGACAATTTGAATTATGAATTTTGGACTTATGGAGAGAAACATAGAGTGATCACGCAGACATAAATACTGTAATGGAAATATATATTTATTTAAAAAAATAAAAAACTCGATTGTGTAAATTATGAACTTTTAATCAAAATAAAAAAATAACAGGACCTATACAAACAAACAAACAAATAAAAATAATAATCTCAGGACAATTCACACAGCGACATCTAGTCCCAAGTTAAGTTAACTAAAACTTGTGTTATGGGTACTGGATATCTAATACTAATACATATATCTTTCGTTTTCCTAAATACATACATATTATACATAGAAAACATCCAGAATGTTTAAAAGAGCAACACACAAGTTTCTTGCTTGTTCTTCTTGTGATGAGACAGCATTACGAATGAGCGGTAGATTAAAAAAAAATGTTATATTCAAAAGTGCTTCAATGTAAGTTTATTTGAATAAATGATTTTCTATTCTATTCTATTCTATTCTATATAATATTATGTTATGTATGCTATAAAAAATCATGTAATGCAATGTAAATTCGACTCTATTCTCAGCAATGAAACTCTCATCTGGGCCGTTGTGCGTATAGAGCCGAGACAAATAGAGTAGCCAGCCGAGCTCCTCCCAGAAGCACAGTAGCGTGGTATCTTCACAGGCTTCCCGGAGCGACCTCACCGTTCCGAGGATATGCGTGTATGTAATATAACGTGTATGTAATGATTTATTTATTTACTAGCTTATCCCTGCGGCTTCGCTCGCGTTAAAGTATACCCATAGGAGTGGAATTTATCAAAATCCTTTCTTAGGGGATGCCTACGTCATAGTAGGTTTATGCATGCAAAGTCTCAGCCCGATCGGTTTAAAATTGACAAAGTTTCATACAAACTTTCATCCCCTATTTTATACCCTTGGGGGTAGAATTAATCAAAATCCTTTCTTAGCGGATGCCTACGTCATAACATCTACCTGCATGCCAAATTTCAGCCCGATCCGTCCAGTGGTTTGGGCTGTGCGTTGATAGATCACTATGTCAGTCACCTTTGAGTTATATATATTTAGATTTACATATTGTACAATAACATGTTACATTTATCCTTAAGATATAAGGTGAGACTCTGCTCCCTAAATAGGAAATATCCTGTACTTTAGTATAACCAGTGCTCATTCCCAGAACACTACCGTGACACGGAAAACGTTGTATGTATTGTTGATCCGTACAAATTATTTTTACACTAAACTTAGATATATTTGGATTTTCATTATAAACACAAAGATAAATAAATACTGGCATATGGACACGATCAGTTCTTCAGTTTCATTATGTGACTTATTTATGAGCCATTTAGAAACTAGCTTTTTACACTCATGCATTGATTTAGACAGTTTTGACAATTCGCTATTTGCCTTTTTATATAAATACCTAGCTGTTACCACGACTTCGTCCGCGTGGAATTTAACTTTATTTTTCTAAAGTAAAAGTAGCCTAAGTTACTCCTTATTACATCAGCCATCTGCTAAAAAAGTCCCGTCAAAATCGGTCCAGCCATTCCAGAGATTTGCCGGAACAAACAGACAGAGAGACAGACAAAAATTGTAAAAAATTTTACTTTGGTATATGTATCGTATTAAAATTCAAAATTCAAAATATCTTTATTCATGTAGGTCTATTACAGACTCTTATGATATGTCAAATCTACCGTCAGTTCGGAATGATATCGAGATATATTTTTTTCAAATAATAGTGGAACATGTTTATGATAAATACAGTTATTAAAATTCAAATTTGGGAGAATAGAGTGACCACCAGCATATGCTATATTATATTATATATACAGCATATTTATATTATATTCATATGCATGTAGTAAAAAACGGTTCTTTCAATATTACAAACAGACACTCCAATTTTATTTAATATATATATAGATATAGATGAAAAGGATATCGAAAGGGATGATAGACTATTCTAGTAATACTTTATATTAACAACAACCCCCGTCAATAAGGGATCGTGTACAGCTATTTGTACAGATTTTCGCGGACACGCGTCGCGTACCGCGCCACTGGTGCGTTAAGAAACGGCAAAGTTTTGCTTGGTAGGGTCAGTGAATACGAAATAGAAATACAAATAATCTTATATATAAAATTCTCGTGTCACAGTTTTCGTTCCCATACTCCTCCGAAACGGTTTGATGATTTTTGTGAGCGTATTGAGTAGGTCTGAGAATCGGGTAACATCTATTTTTCATCCCCCTAAATGTTAGGGATAGTCCACCCCTAAAGTTTTATTTTTTTATATTTTAGACAAAATTTTTAGTTACTATTTCTCGTGTCACAGTTTTCGTTCCCATACTCCTCCGAAACGGCTTGACCGATTCTCATGAAATGTTGTGAGCGTATTGAGTAGGTCTGAGAATCGGCCAACATCTATTTTTCATCCCCCTAAATGTTAGGGATAGTCCACCCCTAAAGTTTTATATTTTTATTTTTTAGACAAAATTTTTAGTTTCTATAATTTTATGATACAACATACAAAAATACATACAAACCTAAATTTTCACCCTTCTATCATCAACCCCTATTTTTTTATAGCGTTATTAATTTATATGGCAAATCAACGTTTGCCGGGACAGCTAGTATTTAATAAAAATAAACTTGATACAATGAAACCTGGTTAATTGTTGATCTCAAGGGGTCAAGAATTATTTACCAATCATTAAGTTTCCTTTAATACAGTCTTCCGATTAAGCTGGTTCTAAATTGTAGTGGTCTCATTTATAGAGGTCCAAATGTACCGTTATTCCATTTTTAGACTTTCAAATTCAAAATCATTTATTCATGTAGGACATTTTAGCCGCTTATGAACGTTAAATCTTTAAATTATAATTTTAATTTTTTCCCTACCGTCCAGTTCGGTATATAGATCCAATTGAGAAGAACTGGCAAGAAACTCAATTGAATTACTTTTTTTTTCAAGCCAGTTTATTTACAATGTATATTTATATAGGTATCTAAGTCTAACATTAAATGAAAATCCCGTGCATGAACAACTACTGCCATGAACGCTCGTCATTCAAGTAATCGTTTAGTGAGTAATAGGCTTTGCTCATTAAATATGATTTAACAGATGTTTTGAATTTATTTAAGAGTAATTTCAATATATCCTTTGGTATCTTATTGTAAATACATACATATTATACATAGAAAACACCATACAATCATACTCATGAATACAATGACAAATGTTTGCACCGTGCAAGAAATCGAACCCGCGACCATCGGAAGTAAAGCAGGGTGCTCAACCGCTAGACCACTGAAACCGTCAAAAATATAAATTTATATTTGAACATCTCGAGCTGTTGGTATGTAGTAGTAGATGGAATGATAAGACAAATCGACGGACAGACAATACGATTTATGTATAGATCTCGGAGATGCGTATTCGATCAGGAACCTGGGAACAGCGGGGGAGCACCCAACCCCTCGCCTTTCATACAACAATCGACATGATAAAATTAATGGCCCATACTTTGCGATTCTCCAATTGCACCGTATCTCGGATATTTATTATAATTTACTGACTTTTAGGGTGTAATCTCAATGTTTATGGTAAGCATAAAGAAAACTATTTTATTCTTTTAAATTTTAGTTTCTTTTAAATTTTAGCGTGTTTTCTAACTTATAAAAAGGGTACTTGTTAATTTGGGCTAAAAATAACTTGTATTGAGCGTAAAACATATTAATAAAAAAATGTTTTCCGAATGAGAAAAACGCGCGATATCTGACAATAAAACACGCAAGTTTTTGTACAATGTTTAGTACATTTTTTATTCTTTTTTTTGTAACTTATAAAGGGCAATTGTAAAATTTTGAGCGTGTTTTCCGTTGAGGGCCCGAAACACGCAGTATTTTTTTGTAAATTGTATTGTAAAATTTCTAGTTAGTGTACTTGTTAATTTGGGCTAAAAATAACTTGTATCCAGAGCCGTAAAACATATTAATAAAAAAATCCATTGTCATCCACAAGAATAAAAAAGGTCACATCTCGGAGAAAAACGCGCGATATCTGACAATAAATTTATCGCATTTGTTGGCGCATATGACTTTTAGGGTGTAATCTCAATGTTTATGGTATGGATAAAGAACATGATTTTTATCCTTTTAAATTTTAGTTTCTAGCGTGTAAAAAGCAACGCGGAAATATCTTGCACGTTTTTTGCACATTTTTTTCCTAAAAAGAAAAGACGTAAAACATATTAATAAAAAAAAAATCCATTATCATAAGTTTTTGAAAGACAGTACAGTAATTTTTGTCAACGCACGTTTTTTATTGTACTATATAACTGTATTGTAAAACTTCGAGTTAGTGTACTTGCTAATTTGGGCTAAAAAGAACTTGTATCCAGAGCCTGGATGATAATGGATTTTTTATTA